AGTGAGGCTGTGTGCTTCAGAACACTGGGGGAACAACTGTAAAATGGGGTTCAGGGAGCTCACTGGGCAGGCTTCAGCTGAGCCAAGACTGAAAGGGCAGGAAGCAAATCATCTCTGGGGAGAGTGTCCCGGGAGACGGTACAGCCAATGCAAATTCCCTGGGGTCAGACCTTGCCTGCAGGGAGATTACTGTAGTTGGAGCAGAGGAAAAAGGGGGGAAAGGAAAAGGTGGGACTGGGGAAGGGACTGGAGGGGCAGAAAGGAGGTAAGGACCCTGCCCTTTCTTCTGGGATACAGCCATTGGAGGGTGAGCAGAGAAGGGCAGGACCAGGCCCAGATTTTAACAACACCGAGGGCTAGGGGCCAAGGAGGGGGCCAAGGCCATGGGGCTGCTTCTGCCATGAGCCAGGGCAGATGGGCCAGAGGGGAAAGGGAAGCCAGCAGGGTCAGGCTCCTGACACCACGGCTCTCCAGAGGGCTCCCGCTGGGGTGTGGCGGCCGTGCGGTTCAGGCAGCTGGCTGAAGCTGAGAAGGAGACAAGGACAATGGGAGCAGCCACAGAAGCCACCATGCAGCCCACCACTTTCCAGCCCTCTCTCCCCCCTCTGGAGCCCCCGGGGCTTGGAGCAGGAGCGGTCTTACCATGGCCAGGCCCGCGGTGACTGTGCAGGTGTCCCTCGAGGAGTGGTCCCCGCTCCTTCAGGACGTCCTACTACCCACCCCGGCCTCAGGCACAGCTTGGAGCCCGTGATCACAGGCGCAGGTCTGCCCAGCACAGCTGAGGTGTAGAAGGAACACGACACACCGGCCGTCTGAGCCTCAGTTTACCCCGCAGAGAACACAGGTGTCCTGTACACTATTGGGTCACTTCCGGGTTTTGAGGGGGCTGAAGCGGCTGCCGCTGTGGGGTTGCTTCTCCACTTGCTCTGGCGACCCAGAAGCTCTATCAAGGCGCAGATGTGTAGGTGAGCTGTGACGAGAAGCCTGTCTCTGATCTGCCCCGCAAGCGGCTGGCCTGAGCTGACTCCCAGAACGGGAAAGCGCTCAGGAGTTTCCAGGCTGGGCCAGGGCAGGGAGAAGTAAGGGTGCTCTTGTGGCTCCAGATGAGCCTCCATGAGCAGCAGAGACCCGGGCATTCACTGGGCGCTGCTGCGGGAGGCTGCTGGGGACCCTTGAGCAGCCTCCCTGGGTGGCCGCCACCGCTCACCACGTTTTACAGAAAATGGAACTGAGGTGCGGAGAGGCTGGTCCTGCACCTGGGCAGGAGGGAGGCAGAGCCGTGGCGGAGTCAGGGACACCGGGGTTTTCATCCTCAGTTTCCCCTTCCGCCAGCTGTGGTTTAAATCGGATTCTTTCCTCTTCAGATACTGTGCGGGTTTGAGTTTGGTTTGGGGGACGCTGTCAGGACTCCTCCAGATGAGAGATGGTTCTGACCTCACGGTGGGAGCACAGGGGCCTGGGAGGCTGGGGAGGGGACCTGACCTGCTCTGACCTGTGAGGCAGCTGCTGGACAGTTCGGAGCAGGCGGTTTGCCAACAGGTATGGTCTTGGGGCCCAGACCCACAGTCATCAGGGAAACGTGGCTGTAGGCCTTGCTGAAGGGCTTGTTGCTAGAGCCCCTGAGCCCTTATATTCTGATTCCTTGGCCTACTCTGGGACCTCTAGACCCTGCAGCAAAGGCCCTGCAGTTGTCCCCATACAGGGCTGCCCCCTCTCCATACTCCGCTTCCAGAGCCCTCCCAGCCTCAGTGAGTCCTATTAGTGATCCCCAGAACAGACGGAGATGCTCAGCCACACACAGATGTGTCCACAGACCCTGTAAAGAGACCCCCTAGACCCATACTAATGCACCCTATTATGGCTGACATCTGCATATTCCCCTAGAACCTCATGGGCTCACAGGTGGGAACTTCAGGAGGTGATTGGATTTTGGGGCATTACAGTTGATTGCTGATTGGAGGAGGTGGGTCACAGTGGGTGTGGCCTGGAAGGGTTTGTCTCCCTTCCCTACGCCTCGCTTGACTCTTTGCTTCCTGTCCGCCATGCCATGAGCAGCTCTCCTCCCCCGGGCCTTTCTACCCTGCCATCAGGCCGTGGAGCCAGCCGATGAGAGACTGAAGTGTGAGTCAAACTAAACCTCTCCTCCTTTCAGTTGCAAGGGTCAGGGTTTCTCCCAGTGACGGGGCTAAGACACGCTCCCACTCTGTCTCTGCCGAATGAACCTGACAGGTCTATGGTCATTGCTGACACTAACCACCACAAGAGTACAGGTGACAGAGAAAGTGGGATGGGGGCCGTGATTGTGACCAGTGTAGTGACAATGTCCCGCTCTGGCACATCACACAGAGAGGCAGGTCTGGGAGCGGGTCCAGGGTTGCATGTGCAGGGAGCAGAGCTCTGACAGGTAGTCACCCTCTGACTGCCAGGGGTCTCTTCCAGCCTCAGCGAGCCTGGAGGGCCCTGGCTTTTCCCCACCTCCAATCCCAGAGGCCCCCATTCCCCACACCTGGAGCAAGGGGGCCTGGTCTGCAGCGTGCTGCTGAGCTGACGCCATCCAGAAGGTCTTGAGTCCTTCTGGGAAAGGTCTGTGCTGAAAGGCTGCCAGGCTTGGTGCTGGGAAAGGGAATATCCAGGACTTCTGCGGCCTGTTGCTGCCCATCAGGTGATAGTACGCTGTCCCAGGTCCGCCCAATCCCCACAGTCCCTTCTGAGCCCTGAGCCCTACCATGAGGGGTCTCTCTTGGACACAGAGCAGTGGGAGTGCAGCCTCTCCTGGGGCTCTGGCTGTCCCCACCTTCAAGTAAGCCACTATGATAATGAAGCCGGCAGTGTCCTATTGAGCCCTCACAGTGCTGATTCCCATCTCGGCTTACTTATATGAGCTTACATGTATTAGCTCATTTAATACTTAGAACTGTGGGAAGGGAGATATTATTATCATTGTTCCCATTCTGTGGATGTAGAAACTGAGGCTCAAAGAGGTTGCCCAAGGACACATAGATCGCCTGAGCCCATAGCTAATGCACAATGCACTCTTCTTCCCTTCCAGTGAAATAGCAGCTACCCAGAGGGGTAGAGGGACTGGTAGCCATCACATAGCAAGTCACCACCTGTGCACAGCTCAGCATTCCTGGCTCTCAGGCTTCTGCTCCTGCTCCTGCATTCTATAATCCAGATATCTGTATCTTCCAGTTGCAACATGGGCATGTTCTTCATGGGAGAGGAACACAAAAGAGATTCCTCCTGCAGTAAAATACTCATGAGATTCCTGAGAGAGATTAATAAAAATCTTATCAAAGAACACAGTGGTTCCTGCCAACCCATCCGTCCCTCAGCAATTGGCAGGACTATAATTTCCATCAAACTATAATTAGCTGAGTTTCCTTTTGTAATCTTGGAAATCCAAAGGGAGCGCAGCCTATCATTGGAGCCGTGGGATCATGATTAGCTGCCTCGTGTACAAAACTGTTAGGAGTGAAAATGTCCTTCGCTTCCCTTTGATGTTTGAGGAGGACTTGCTAATGCAAAGACATGAAAAAATTAGTGGAATTTCCAACGGAGACTTGCCGGGCTGCGGGTTTGTGGAGGAGGCCCTGGCCAGGCAGCTGAACCCAGGTGGGGTTCTGGAGAGGGCACCCCTGCAGGGCAGGGTTCTGGAGAGCAGCTGAGGGTGGGCTCAGGGTTCCTCCAGGGCCAGGATGCACCAGCCACATTGCATGTGCACAGCAGTACTGGAGGATGGATGGATGGAAGGATGGATGAGTGGATGGATGGATGGATGATGGATGGATGGAAGGATGGATGGATGGATGGATGGATGGATGGATGGATGGATGGAAGGATGGATGGATGGATGGAAGTATGGATGGATGGATGGATGGAAGGATGGATGGATGGATGGGTGGATGGGTGGGTGGATGGATGGGTGGATGGATGGGTGGATGGATGGGTGGATGGATGGAAGGATGGAAGGATGGGTGGATGGATAGATGGAAGGACGGATGGAAGGATGGGTGGATGGATGGGAGGATGGAGGGAAGGATGGATGGAAGGATGGATGGATGGATGGAAGGATGGGTGGATGGAGGATAGATGGATAGAAGGATGGATGAACTGATGGGTGGATGGATGGATGAGTGAGTGAATGAATGAATAAATGAGCTAGCAGGGCACAGTGTTTAGTGCTTGCGCGCTCACCAGAACCTTGTCCATCTGCTCTACATTCCATGTGCAATGGCTTCTCTCCTCTGCCTTTGCCTGGGAAGCTGCTGCTCAGCCCTCCAGATGAACCTCAAGCAACCCCTCCTCTGGGAAGCCACCTTGATTTCCTCCCTAAGTTCCCAGCTTTCTTCCACAGGCCCTTCCTCAATCTTCAGGCCTTGTGTGCCTCCTCCTCAGTCACAGCACCTCTGCAGAGGACCTCACCTGCCCCCTCACCGTGTCCCTAACCCTGAAAGGGAAGTGGATATCAAGGTTGCAGACTGTGATTCAACATTTGAATCCCTCCCCTGTCCTCTCTAGCCTGAAAGCCTAAGTCAGGCTAGCGCACTGGAGCCCATGGGATGCTGGCCTCCTGAGACCCAGGTCCAGCTATGGAAGATTCTGAGGGCTGAGACCTGGGCCTTCTGGACACAGAGCCCCCAGTCCCAGCTGACCCCTGAGCCCAGCATAGGCACCCATGGGGTTTCTTTTGGCCCAAACCTGGAAGCCCTGCCTTGGAGTCACCATCATGGGTCTCCAAACTCCCAGTCTGGCCCAGACTCTGACTTGGAGCTACTGTCCTCCGAGGCTAGATCTGTGTTCCCCCTTGTGTCTGACACCAAGTCTTAGCATTTGCCAGGGGGAGCCCAACAGGCCCAAGGGGTGTGGGTCACCCCTGGTTCCACCAGAGAAAGAGCAAAGCAGTTGTCGCACCACTAGTACAGGCGGTGCCACACAACAGCCTGGTGACAGATGAGAACCATGTGCGACACGGACCACACCTCACATCCGGGAATCAGCAGAGAAGGAGCCAGGCTGCCACCCCAGAGCTGGTCAGGGCAGAGCCCAGCAGGGCATGACTGGCGAGAAGGGCGAGGGTAGGAACAGGTGAGTCATTTTCCTTTTCACCCAGTGAGGCCCGGAGGACCCTTGGCAGGGTCCCTCTAAGTCTCAAAGTAGTAGGGACACTGCCCCATAGGGACAGCAACCCTCTACACCCACCCGGAGTACCTGGCCCAGGGAGGCCCAGGGCCCTCAGTGCAGGAGGGGCTCAGAGGCTGTCCATTTCTTCTTGGGAGGGCACCTGTCCAGCCCTCTGTCCCTGCCAGGTTGCCAGGTTGCCAGGGCCTGGGCTCTTTGCTGTCCGGGTAGGGCAAGCTGAGTGCCCCCACGCCCTTGGCAAGTCCCCAGTGAGATTCCAGGGAAGTGTTCCTGGGGGGTAGGCAGAGTAAATGAAGGAATGTGTGTGGTAGGAAGCAACACTGGTGACTCAGAGTGACTCAGTCTGGAGCCTGCCAGGGGCCCGAGGAGCAGCTGCCTGCGGGTACAGTAGCCCTGAAGCTGCCCACCTCAGGAGAGGGCCAGTCCCTTCCCCAGGGCCCGTCTCCCTGGCCAGCTTTGTGGACAAATCTTTGGCAAATTCTAGGAAGAGGATGCATGGCAGGGATCCGGACAGAGCCCAGGTGGAGAAAGGGAAGCTGTGAGGGGGAAGCAGACCCTTCTCCCCAGAGAACCTGGGAGCCTCCACCTGCATTTCTTGGAACCCACCTTATCCTAGAAGAAAGCTTGTTCCTGACAGGGAAACTGAGGCATGAAGCAGAAAGGGCTGGCCAGGGTCCAAGTGTTAATAGAGCTGAACCAAGAAAAGGATCCAAATCCAGGTCCTAGCTTGGGTCATTCCTCTCCCAGGTAGTAGAAGGCATAGGCATTACATGATGCATGCCAAAATTCTACCCATAAGGTCCTGCTGGTTCCACCAAGGCCCTCTCATAGGATCTATATTCCCTGCTAAAGGTAGACCTTGATGGTTTTTCCATTGTCTACCAAACAACCATCCATCCATTCTTCCATCCTGCTCTCTACCCATCAGTCCATCCTACTGTCCAGCCATCCACCCCTCTATCCACCAATCTACCCCTCTCTTTATCCAACCATCTATCCATCTATCCCACCATCCATCCTTCTATCCCACCACCCATCCCTCTATCTTTCCATCTGTATATCCATCCATCCATCTTCTACCCATCCTTTCTACAATCCATTCATCATCTGTCCATGCATTCATCCACCTGTCCACTATCCATCCAATCATCCGTCCATCTACCCACCCTTTCATCCACCCTCTCAACTATCCTCCCATAGACCATCCACAGATTCATTGGTCCATCCATCCTCCCATGTGTCCACCTGACCATTCACCCATCAGTTCTGTATTAGTAACTTAACCTTTTTTAATTTAAATTTTTCTTAATACTTGTTTGTAATAATGATTGCACTCATCATGGATAATTCAGTAAGTCTTGACAAGGTGGCAGATCCCCCAGTTTTTCTCTGACCCCTCAGTCTTCCACGCCCTACTGCTTCTTCAGTCATCAAGCTTTTTCACCCCAGCAGGCCAGTGACCCAGACATGCATGGCTGTGACCTTCAGGAGCCCATGGGCCCAAGAGATACATAGGATCTGCACCCAGAAAACTGTAAGCCAGGCAGAACTGCACTCCCACCTCTGCTGTTGGGCTTCATCCCGCATCACCTGGGGCAAGGGAGGGCCCAGAGTTCCACATTTTCCCACCAGCTGGCTCTGGGAGGAAGCTGCTGCTGCTGGGAGGGGACATCCATGAGGACAAGCAGGGCTTGTCCCTTCCCACCTGGACAGAACGTGCCTTCCTGCACCTCTGGGAGCATTCTGTGGTCCTTGGCTTTAGGGCCTCATTAATTCTGGCCCAGCCTGTGCCTTGAGATTATAGGATAAGAGGGAATTCCAGAGGGGCAGTGCAGCCTCATAAAACCACAATTGGTCGTGTTCTTCCTGTTATGTTTCTATAATCACAGTAATACCTAACAGCTTTTGCATTTCAAAGTGTTTTGTCCCTATGACGGGATTGGATGCCCACAGCAGCCACGCTGGTCAGGGAAGGAGGTAAGGAGACAACTTGCCCGCAGCTGAAGTCACTTGTGGGTACCTGCAGCATGGCCCAGGACCAGACTGACCTCTGGAGCCTCAGCTTCCCCAATTGTAGAAGGGAAAGGACACCCTGCAGACCCCTCCACAGTGCCCCAGGATTGTGATGAACAAAGCTGAGGCCAGCCGGGTGAGATCAGCAGCAGCCCTGGAACTGTCCCCACGGGTCCCTTCAGGGGATCCTGGTGGAGTCACAGACAAGAGACTCCTTGGTGACCTTGGCACCTGCCTGCCCCCTCCACACCCTGCAGATCACCTTCGGTTTTCTCTGCTTAGTGTCCTCCATCACTAACTATAAAATAGGAGACAGTCTCCCAGGTAACAAAGGGCTGTGGCTGACACAGACACCGGCAAACACAGCTGGCAATGAATGTGGCCAAGGACACGGCACCACGGGTCAAGGAAAGGCTCCGATGGCTGCTCTGGGCCGCCTTGGTCTCCATTTCTCTGGGTCGTGAAGCCAGCTAGAGTCTGGGGACAATGCAGTCAGGTCCAAGGGATCTGCTGAGACATCTCCAGGAGAGGAGAGAGCCCTTGGACACTGCTCCTGCCCAAGGAGGTATCCAAGTCTGGGGTTCAACTTCCAGCTCAGGGCAGAGACCTCTTCCATGACCACTCTGTGCTTCCAAATTGGCCAAGGAAGGGGTGGGGGTATTGGATCTCCCTCCAGTAACGGTTCTCTGCTGGTCTTGGCTGCCCCTCCTATGAAGTATAAAGGGGTCCCTGGGACCCTCTCAGGGCAGCCCCCAAGCTCTGGCAGGGTTTTGGCAAAAGGGGTCACACCCTGCCAGGACCCTACCCAGGGCGTCCCTCCCCACACCCCCATAAAGGCCCCCATAAAGGCCAGAGTCCCTCTCCATCCCCGGGCAGATATGTGAGCAGCGGGCAGGACCCTGACCTCTGCCCAGCCCCAGCTTCCCCTCCACACCACCCGCCCCAGCCTCGCCTCCCCTCCAGCTCTGCACGGCCTCAAGGCCCCAGTGCACCAAAACCTTGCAAGCAGTTAAGCTCACACATGCTGTTTCTCTGCCCAGAGCCCCTCCCTCCTACTCCCTCCCCTAGCCGGGAGCTCCTCACCCCTCAGGGGTCTTCTCAGTTGCCCCCTCCTCCAGGCAGCCTCCTCTGATCTGCAGCCAGCATTAGGGAAGCCCTTGGCACTCTGCTGTCTCACCATCTGGCTGCCCGTCCATCTCCCCCATCAGACCAGCAGTTTGTGAGGGCGGGGCCACACCAAAGTCACTGGTGTGGCCAGGGAGCCAGCATGCGGACTGAAGGCTGCTCGGTGGTGATGACGCCCAGGGTCCCCTGGGACACTGAAGAAATCACGCCTGGGAGGAGGCGCAGGGCTGGGCTTAGGAGTTTGTGTCCAATGGGCGTCATTTTCCTCTCACCCTCTTAACTCTCCATCCTCCCATGCCCACTCCAGCCTGGGAGGTGGGAGCCACAGAGGACTGAGCACATCCAGCAGGAGGTCAGCAGCCCACCTCAGCCCAGGGTTCCACGCTCTGCATGTGGACAAGGGTCAATCAGTGGGGCAAGAGAGAGGACCAAGAATCTCTGTGCCCAACCCCTCCCTGTCACAGCACCCCTGGTGGCAGCATGGTGGGTAGAGAGGCAGGAGGCCACAAAGAGAGGCCCGGATGGCCCCTGACCACGTGGATATGCAAATTTAGCCATTTACACCCCCATGAGCTCCCCGCTGTCCCTGCAAACCTCAAACACTGAGAACCCCGGCCACAGGGCTGGGAACTGCAGAGTCCAGGCAGGGTGCAATAACCAGGTGTATCATGTTTTTGTGAATGGAGCTGCAGCCAGCTTCCTGCAGTTGGCCACGCCTCACCGGTCTGGCCTGACCACTCTGTCACCCCGGGAGCAGTGCGGACAGAAAGAGGGAGCTGCACGATGAAAGTGTGAGTCAGACAGGCCGAGGCGGAAAAAGAGACATTCTTCTTTGGTTTCCCTGAGCCTCAGACTGAGACGTGGCCCAGGCCGGATTCCCAGGCCTGGCCCCCAGGACCCACCCAGCCCAGGATCGTCCACCTGCAAACTGGACTGCTCACTGTGCTTCGTCCTCAGACCCCCTGCTCCATCTGGAAGGGCACCCCACAGTCCCTGTCTGGGCCTTGATGGGAGGTCTTACTCCCTATTTATTCCTTCATTCAACCAACATGTATTTATTTATTTACATATTTATTTTTGTCTTTTTGAGACAGGGTCTCACTATGCAGTTCAGGCTGGCCTTGAGCTCACTTTGTAGCCCAGGCTGGCCTCAAACTCGCAACAAGCCTCCTGCCTCAGCCTCCTGAGTGCTGGGATTACGGGCGTGCACCACCACACCCAGCTTCAGCCAACATTTACTGAATACCCACTGTATGCCAGGCCTCAAAGTTCCCTGCCTTTATGGAGATGGTATCCGGTGGGTGGGGGGAGCAACTGAAACAGTCTTGAGTTTTTATTGAAGCTGCAACAACAGAGTGGCCCGGAGAATCAGGGAGGAGGTGACAAGGAGCCCAAAAGGAGGAGACAGGGCCACCCAACCAGTAGAGGATAGGACGTGCATTCCAGGTGATGGGGACTGCTCAGGAGGCAGCTTGGGATGCTCCTGGAACTACATCCGGTTGATGTGGCCAACGCTCAGGGAGAAGGGGACAGAGGATGTGAGAAAGCAGGACACAGCATAACCGGGAAGCTGGCAAGTCCCTCTCACCCTTGGGCCCAGACCCGGCCAGGGGCTGTCTAGCTAGGCCAGGAGGCTCCTGCCCTGCAGACAGTCGGCTTTGGGGAAGTTAACAGGCTCCTCTTCCTCGAAGCAGGCTGGAGGCCCCCTTCATCCCGGCACTGGGTGATACAGGAGTACAGGGGCTGCTGCAGACACCCCCCCCAAGCTTCTCTTGCCCTGCACCCCCGCCTGAGGAAGGCTCTTCCCCTGTGTGTGCCCCCCACCCGGCCTTGGACGAGTCAACCCTGCTGTCCCTTTAAAGGGACCTGAATCAGAGAGTTAAGAATGAAACTGACTCATGATAGGAAGGATGGTCACCAGCTGGCGAGGTGCCAGGGCTGCGGCGGGAGAGGAAGCGGGGTGACCGCAGCTGCTTGTATGTGCGCTGCAGTGCAGGGCAAAAACCACAAAACCCCATTTGAAATTCCACCGTGCAGCAAATTGTGTAATGAGGTTACCCCTCATAAAGGGGGCATTCAAGGCCCACCCGCCCTGCAGGGCTGGGGGCCTGCTCCTGGGGCCAGCTGATGGTGATGTCATCTTCCGTTAGGATTCCCCCCCCTTACCCCCCAACTCTGTTGATTAAGGACTTTAAAAAAATGCACCAGGAAACTCAAGAGCAAGCCAGAACGGAAGCCTTGGGTTTATTTATAGTCGATAACTCGTGTCCGGCTTGCTCCACGGGAGGCACAGTGGGAGGATGAAGAGCCCACAGGAGCAGGAGACAGAAACACCCAAGCCCCTGGGCTACACTGGCACCCAAAAGCAGACTTGAAGTGCCACTGTGAGCTCCCCAGAGGCCAAGGCAAAGCGAGGAACAGGGTGCTGTAGTGTGACATCACAGGAGACCAGGCCCTGCACCCGGGATTCCACTTTCTCAATGGTGAATGGAGCAGAGGGCGCTGAGTTGGTTGGGCAACCGGGCACCATGCCCAGCGGTGTCTGGATGCCCAGCGGTGGCCATGCAGGGCTGGGACCTGCAGGTGGACAGCATGGGGCCTCCCTCCCCTCTGGCAGACATCGATAACAGATCGCAGCACCTCTTCCCCACCAGATTCTGCCTCCGAGTCCCATTCCACACGTCCTCCAGGGACCATCCCCACAGGCCAGAATGGGACTGGAGGCTGCACCAGCTTGGCTGCCGGGCCTGTGACCAGCCGAGGACAGTTCTGCAAGGGTCTTGGATGTGGGAGCATCCCCACCCCTAGCTCCTGCTGGCATACAGCAGACGCTCAGCAGTGTCTGCTAAAGGCAGAGGGGAACTGGGTCGGGGGATGGAAAGGGAAGCAGGGACTTGGACTCCAGGCAAGCTGGTGAACTTGTCTGGGCCTCGGTCTCCTCCTGTGTTAAATGGGGTTGCTTTGAGGCTTAGGGGAGGTCGGCATGTGGCCTGTAGCACACAGGACTCCTGCGATGCCCTGTGCTCAGGAGGGGGAAGACAGTGATGATGGCAGCGATGCCATCTCTCTGAGGACAGGGGCAGGCAGTGCTGATGTTGAGCCCGGAGCATGGTGGCCTGGCTGGCTAGTCCTCCCAACCAGTCTAAGCTCTTGACTGGACCCAGCGGAGCTGTGAGGCTGCAGCCACGATGGGCACATCAGTCCCGCCCACCTTATCGAGGTCAGGACAGTCCAGGGCCCCATGAAGTGCTGCCTGGCGCTGGCCACTTCCCACTGAAGTGTGTGTCGGCCCACATCATACAGGATGGCTGCGTCATTTCTGCCAAAAGCCAGGCCTTGGGTGTGCTCCCCCTTGGCAGCTGATGGCCTTTCCAACTTCCACTTGGACGCTCAGCTCCGGGGCACCACCTGGCTACCCTGTGGGTGCCCTGTCCCAGAACAACGCAATCTTGGTACCTCCCTAGCCTTCTGGCCCATGACATGTCCACCTCCTCCTGCATAAATGCGCCAAGTGCCTCACTGGATACCTTCATATCCCTCTCATTTCTCCTCTGTTCCAAGCTCCAGCAGCAGCAGGCAGTTTCCCAGGAGGCCCTTTCCACAGAGAACCGAACATCCATCTAGTCACAGGGCCTTTGCACTGATTGTTCTCTCCACTGGCCAGCAGTTGTCTTTGAAGGAGGCCCCAGCACAGACGAGGAAGATACAGGCACATGCCCTCCACAGCTCCACCATGAGACAGGGCCTTTGGGAGGCAAGGGAGGTGCCCATGCCCTCTGCCTAGGAGACACGGTTATGGTCCCAGGATAGTGTCAGGGGTGGAGGCCAGGAGGTATCCTGAGCTAAGTGTGCCTCCCCCTGGGAACAAGCCCCAGGCAACAAGCAAGATCTTCTCAAGAGCAGACTATGGCCTCAGCACTCACTGGGACTCCCTGATCTGAACCTAGTGGTTGCACAGCTCTCTCTGGGGTCATGAGCCCCCCGCCCCTGCAAGTATGACAGCTGGCCCCTCCACAGCAAAGGGGACTGGGGGAGCTGCAGAAAGCACCTGGTTCATGGTGATGGAATCTCCTTCCTTGTCTGTCCAGGTGAGGGAAGACTCACAATTCAGGTGAGGAGACCCCTGGATGCCTGGCTTCAAGGGGAGAGACCTCTGTTCACCTGGCTCCAGGTGAGGAGACCCCTGAACACCCGCCTTTCGGCTCAAACCTAGCCTGGTTCTCTAACACACTTGGCTTCTCCCAGGCTCACTCTCAGGCCTTGCACGGGGTGGGTCTGTGGGGCAATAACAGCAAGAGAATGGAGGTGAGACCACAGGAGGGCCAGGCTGCTGGGTGGGCGGGGCTCACCTGGGCTTTCTGCCAGCCAACATTCCTTCTTCTTCCTCTGGGGGTAAGGCCTGGGTGGAGCCCACACACAGATGTGCCCCACCTTAAATTCTACCCTCAGTTAGAAGTGCCCAACTCACCTGGTCCCACTTGAGGCAGACTTAAACAACCAGCCCCCCTCAGTGATCCTAGAGTTGCCCAGGGGATAACAGAAACGAGATGCCATTCATTCATTCATTCATTCATTCCCCTTCTCATGTATCCATTACCTCATGCAGGATGGCTGCGTCATTTCTACCAAAAGCCAGGCCTTGGGTGTGCTCCCCTTTGACAGCTGATGGCCTTTCTAACTTCCACTTGGACGCTCAGCTCCGAGGCACCACCTGGCCACCCTGCAGGGGCCCTGTCCCAGAAGCAATCTTGGTGCCTCCCCAGGGCCCACAGCATGTCCACCTCCTCCTACATAAGGAGGGTCTTTCCTGGGCTCCTCCATCCTTCCTGGCCACTCATGCCCCCTCCTGGGTGGTTTGATAACAGTAGTAGATATGCACATACAGAGCCTTCTGAAGGGCTTCCTGTACCCAGGAACCTTAAGAGCAGGTAGGTCATGTAACTCACAGGGCCCGGAAGAGGGTGCAGTCACCGTCCTCACTTAGCAGAAGAGGAGCAGAGGAACGTGGACCTCACAGCTGGGACTCGGGAGCCGGGTAGAACCCACAGCCTGGAGGCAGCTGAGTGGGTAAGGAGGGTCTTCCAGCCTCAGCCTCTTGCTCACCTTGGGAAGCTCTGAAAACAGACATCATCCTAAGCCCTGCTCTTTGTTCAGCACAGGGAACTCTCCCCGAAATCCACAATGGGTTACTGAGCACTTTGTAAGTGCCCGGCCTGGTGTGGGGGGGACGACAGGGATGCCCCTGAGGCAACCCCCCTCATCCCAGCTCCACGTGACCATGGTTAAGGCCAGTGGGAAATACAGACAGTGAGCCTCAAGGGAAACTTCCAGTGTGGCCAGGAAGGTTGGAGGAGCCCAGAAAAGACCCACAGACGAGAGAGGTGGCTGTGTTGTCATCCACTTGGCCTGGGACCTGGAGGTCATCAGGCCGGTCACGTATGCCTGCAGGCCTTGTCAGGGCCTGGACTTTATCCAGAAGGTGGAAGGCCCTGCATGTGGCAAGAACAAGGCCTTATTTGCCCCTTTAGAACCTTCCTCTAAAGCTGAGTAGAGGGGGACCAGAGTGGGGAGGAGAAGAGGTTTTCATGGTCATCCAGGCAGAAGATGGTGGTGGGATGGAAGGTGGCCCGGACAGGGCTCAAGGTCAGATTTAAGGTGCAGGTTAGGAGAGAGGGTTTCCAGACAACACCCAGAGGGTGCTGATAACCTTCGGTAAGAAGGGGCGCCTGGATGCCCCAGGAGGGCTGTTCCCCCGTGTGGCTCATGCTGGTAGGTGCCCACGGCACAGCTGCAGCTCCTCTGTGCCAGGGTATCACTGTCACTGTGCCCACTGGGGCTGCTGCTATGCACACTTGCCTCCTGACCCGTGCTGAGACCTTCCCTACTCCCTCACCTGCTCATCAGCGCCACCCACTGGACGCCGAGGACAGGCCCCCAGTGGTTTGCTGAGGGCAGACCCTGATGTCTCTTGTATCCTCATTTTAGGGTTAGGAAAAAGGCTGTCTGAGGTCACTTAGTATCTTAGCTACTTTTCTCTCATTGCTGAGACAAAACACCCAACACCCAAAGATAAGGACGGAAAGGTTTATTTAGCTCACCCTTTGTGGAGGTTTCAGTCCCTAATCAACTGGCTCCAAGGCAGGGTGGTGTAGCATAGGGGCAACAGTTCAAGGCGGCAGAAAACAGCAAAAGCAACAAGAACAAAAGGTGGGGAGAGGCAGACAAGGTGGGCAAGCATCTTTTCCTCCCCTATATTGTACTCAGGCTATACCCACAGGTGGGTGTAGCACTCACACCATTTTCCTGTCCTCCTCTTGCACAGGCTCAGGATGTTTACAAAGTAAGGACCCTGGCTCCCTGCTGAGTCACTTAGTTAAACTTCTAAACTTCTCAAGTTGACACAATGAACAACATCCTAGAGTGGTAAGGGCATGTCCTCTACACAGCAGGATGTAGAACTCCTAAGTTACTTAGTTAAGCTTCTAGACTTCTCAAGCTGACACAATGTATCAACCATTATACCCAGTCAGGGAGAGAAGGAAGTGACCTGAGACCTCAGCAGTCCCGCCTGGTAGCTCCTGCCCAGGGAGACCCCTCTGAGGAGCAGACTTCTGGAAGAGGGTGATGCCAGGAAATGCCTCATCCCTGCCATACACCCTGTCTGCTGTGGACATCCCAACAGTCCTAGATCCTTCCTGCTCCCCTCCACTGCTCTGAGACTCAGTCACACCATGGTCTACCTCAGATCTGCAAAGCTCATTGTTCTGGACTAATGTCTGCCTCTGAGACACCTCCACCCCAATAGCCCTGCTGGGTCCTGCTGGAGGAGGAAAACTATAAAATCTGCCTCTAACACTCAAGGTACAGCCTACCTGCTAAAATACATGACTCAATAATGGTTGTGATAGTTCTGGTGATGATGTTGATCAACATTTGATGGCAATGGTGATGATGGTGATGATAATTATCTGATGGGGATGGAGGTAACTGGTGACAGGGTGATGATCACGGTGACAGTGATGGTGGTGTTGGTGGTGGTGATGGTGGTGGTGATGGTGGTGGTGATGGTAGTGATGATGGTGAAGATATGATGATGATCATGGTGGTAATGATATTGATTGTGAGATGGTCATCATATTGACGTGATGACTGATGATCACTCTGATGATAGTAGTAATTAAAGCAGTGTTGGTGATGGTAGTAATGGTGATGACAGTCAAGGTGGTGATGATATTGATGGCAAAATGGTGATGATGATAACTGATGATCATGGTGATGATAATGGTAATGATGACCGTGATGGTGATGATGGCGGTAATGGTGATGATGGGGATGATGATGATAGTGATGGTGGAGATGACAGTGATGGTGATGATGGCGGTAACGGTGATGATGGGGATGATGATAATAGTGATGTGATGATAGTGATGGTGATGATAATAGTGATGGTGATGATAGTGATGGTGATGATGATGGGGATGATGATGATAGTGATGGTGGAGATGACAGTGATGGTGATGATGGCGGTAATGGTGATGATGGGGATGATGATGATACTGGTGGTGATGATGGTGAAGATGGTGGTATTGATGGTGCTAATGACTGATAATCATAGTGATGATCATATCAGTGATGATAACTTTTACTGAGCATGCATCTCATGATAACTGTATGATATGGGTCTATTATTATCTCAGTTTACAGAAGAGGAAACTGAGGCATAGAGTGGTTTAGTCTCCTACCTAACTAGACAGCAGTGGAACCTAGAGGTACATCAGGCAGTTGTACCAGAACCCATATGCTAATCGTTTTCCTATACTCCCTTGGTTTACCCTACAGAGCCACCTGTTTGTGGCCCCTCCCCTGGCACATTTTGTCTCCCTCCAAAGGCTACATGCTTCATTATCTATCCACAGCATTCCAGAGTGAGGGAAGCCCTGGGCACTGCCAAGGAGGGACCGCAGCCCCACTGGCATGGGAGTATGTGAGCTCCACCTGCACAGCCCTGCACCCACCTCCCAATCCTGAGGGAGCCGACATGACCCTGCCCCCCTCTCCCTACTGAGCAGCTGACCAGCGGCAGAACCAGCTGTAGCCTCCTGCAGGGGTGGGCACTGGCCAGCATGCAGCATGGCTCCCCAGGACTCTTTCCAGTTCTTGGGCCCCTCATTGGCCACAGGTGGACTCTGGAAGGTGGCTGAGGTGGCTTCAGATGCACCTGAGCCTGAAAACCTCTGCTGCATGGATGACACCCTGCCCGGGTCAGCGTGGAGGCTGCATTGTTTTAAGATACTGTGACACGGCAGCTTTGTTTGCTGCCCAGTCTCAAAGTGGGGCTCTGAAATCTCTACCCACACGATCTCACCTACCCTCCCAGCATTGTTTCATTTTACAGAGGAGTAAACTGAAGTTTTGAGCAGGCAAGTGGTGTCCCTGAGACCATCAGCCAGGATGTAGTTCAGGGCTTCTCAAGACCAAAGGTCCTCCCCATCCTCACTCTTTACAACCCTGTGTGACCCCTTGGGAAAGAGAAAGGCTGACACTAAATCAGTTATTATACATACTGTGGTTGGCAGAATTCTAAGAGACTCCCAGATCCTACTCCGGCCCACACACTCTGTCTAGTCCCGGCCACCGGGGATGTGACAGACTGCACTCCTGTAAAGAGGGTGGTGTGAGATGGTGCAGCTGACCTGTCCACTTTAAGGAAAGGACTAACTAGGAGTGCAATGACCTCATCAGGTGAGCCTGCTAAAAGCAGAGCCTTCTTTCCAGGTTGTCACAGTGTGGCAATGAGAGATCCCAATAATAAAAAGCCCTCCCGCCACCACTGATTTGAGAAAGGAGGGGGACCGTGTGGCAAGGTCTGAGGGCTCCCCAATAGCTCAAGTGGTCCCAGTGACAAACAGCAAAGACGTGAGGATGACAGCTTCACCACCACAAGCCACTGACTTTGCAATGATGCAATAGCGATATGCACTCAGCAGTGTGGGCCTCTCCCCTGTTGCTCGCTGCTAGTGGCAGCCCCAGCTCTTGGTCAACCCCTAATCATAAAGGTAAACAACCAATACTCTATACTGTGCTGCATTTAATAAATTGCAAGAGACTCTCAACATTTTACTATAAAACAGGCATTGTGTTAGGTGATCTGTCCAACTGTAGAATAACGTGTCCAGGCAAGTGAGGTTAAGCTATGCTGTCCTGTAGTTCAGGAATATGAAATGTATTTTCAACTTGGGATCTTTCCAGTTTACATGGTTTAAGCTGCTAAGGCCTGTCCACCCAGACCTACTTGGGGACTGAGGAGCTGGCGGGTACCCCAGAGACCAGTGTAAGGTCTGTTGAAGGCGTGTCAGGCCTGGCTCTGCCTCACTGGGCTCCTGCACCCTACTCAAGAACAAATAGAAGCCAGCTGGATGTGGGGTAGACTGAGAGAACGCATTGGGAAGTGCTTTGCTCTATGTACAGTGAGGTTTGGAGGGCTCCTACTGTGTGCCGTTCCCTGTGCTGATCTACGCTCCACCTTCCCCAAGTGGACAGGAGAGAAACGGCAGCCCATGCAGGGGCAGCAGATAGGCCAAGGTGCCATGGCTGGTAGCGAACACATCAGGGAACCATGCCGTGTGGTGTCTGGGGAGGGTGACCCCTGGGGAAGGATCCCCAGTCTGGCTCCCGAATAGGGCTATCCCAAAACCTAGACAGTTGCTTAACTGAATGTGTTCCCCTCCCAGCAAGCTATGCAGACTGTGAGCTGAGAGCAGGTAGCCAAGACAGCCCAGAGGGGGACAGCAAGTCTGGCTTTAGATCTCACAGGTGGCAGAAGACATCAGGTGGCTCTGGGCAATGGGAGGGGCTCACGCAGGATTTTATCTCAGGAAATGTCACAAGCTATTCCAGGCCTTTGAGATAAGAAAATTCAATGGTTTTATCCAGTTGCTCTCATGGTTTTTCCTCAAATGCCATTTCATTTCAGCCTTTAGAGCACAGCCAGCTCAGGCGGAGCATACAATGCCATAGTTCTTCCATGCTGTACGTGGCAGACACGACTAATCGATCACAGA